CCAAGTCCTGTGCAAAAGAAAGAAAGAATACGCTACATGTATATATATTGTCACATTGATACATGTATATATGTCTTATATACTATATATTGTCACATAATATCAGAGCGACTAAGCGAAAAAACCAAAAAAAACAAAAAAATCTTAAATTCGTTTTTAATCTTCTTCCTTACAACTCCCCCTGTTCAGAACCTCTTGCGTACAAGGCCGCCCACGTGGATGTAGGTTGAGCGGCGGCTGCCCCCACCCCCGTGTGTCATATCGACCCACTTGCACACAACCAAAAGGCAAAGAGGCAAAGAAGGGAGGAAGGGAACAGCCAAATGAAACAAATAGAACAGAGGGAAACGAGACAGTATTGTCACACTGGAAATCGGAGCGCAAAGGCGGAAAAAGACAAAACAAGAAAAAGAAAAAGAAGGAAAGCCCCACCTGTTCGTCACCTTTTACGTACAAGGCCAGCCACGTATATATATCATCACATAAATATGAGAGCGCAAAAGCGAAAAAAAGGAAAAGAATGAATTCGTTTTTTTATCTCTTCTTCCTTACAACTCCCCCTGTTCAGAACCTCATGCGTACAAGGCCGCCCACGTGGATGTAGGGATATATATATATATTTGTGACGATATATATATATCATATACATATACAAGTATATATAAAACATATATACCGTCATCATATATACCCGTCACCCATCCGTCCATCCACGTCCTCGTTCATGTGTGTATATATGATCCATCACCGTATTAGTATGACTATTTCATTGATTCGCCTTTTCCAGTAACACGCGTTCAAGTCCATCCTTCGATACCTATTTTATTCATTTTAACTACTCATGGTTCCCCGATGTGAGGTTGAGATTGCCGATGATCATTAATCATTAGTTGATCGATTACCCGTTTGATTGATTACCCATCACTACCGATGCGATGGTTGACGTCAGCGGATTTTCGTCGATTCGCCGTTTTTCGCTACCCCTTTAGGTATTTCACATTCGACGCGACGCGATTGGGTTTTCAGGTTCCCTCCAAAAAAGCGGAGAATCGACGCGATTGGGTTTTCAGGTTCCCGCCAAAAAAGCGGCGAACCGACGCGATTGGGTTTTCAGGACCTGACGGTTTCGGTTCAGAAAAGCGACGAAATTGCGGCCAGGAACGTCGAAGTTAAATGCCCAACGGAGCATTAATCACAGCAGTTCTTTTACTCTGTACTCTAAACGATACTATACCCCGTCTCCCGCGAATAGAACGCATGCGGCCTATCTCGTAAACTGTGACAGACAGAAAGTGGTGTCTGGGCCAACGTTCTCTCTCTCTCTCTCTCTCTTCTCTCTACATATATGTTTGATGACATATATATCGTCACACCGTGTACTATACCCCGTCTCCCGCGAATAGAACGCATGCGGCCTATTTTGTAACCTGTGACAGACAGAAAGTGGTGTCTGGGCCAACGTTCACTCTCTCTCTCTCTCTCTCTCTCTCTCTCTCTCTCTCTCTTTCTCTCTCTCTCTCCTCTCTACATATATGTTTGACGATATATATCGTCACACCGTGCATCGGAGCGCAAAGGTGAAAAAAGACAAAACAAAAAAGAAAAGAACGAAAGCTCCGCCTGTTCATCACCTCTTACGTACGAGGTCGGCCACGTGGATAACATGTATATATGTATATCTTTTTTTTTTTCTTTCACATGATACGCCTCGCGCCAGGCATTTCAGAAACACTTCAGTGCGCTGTGTGCGTCCAGTGCACGGACGGGACACGCTAACCGTTTTCCCTCGAATAGAACGCACGGTTATTTTAGCTGTGTATCTAGACTGAAAGTCCGCCCAAATACGGGTGCTACAATGACCGTGCATCCCCTTGAACGGAACCGGCTACCCGTAGGCCCGTGTCGGGATCCGTGATCGAGTCGAAATGATCAGAAAGTGAAATACTACCAAAATATTAAATCCTTTTTTTTCACTTTTATTTTCACAGTTATTTACTCGTCCGAGTTGATTGGGATTCGAACTGGGGTCTGATTCATATTTCAACAGTCCAGGGGGGGTGTACCAACTGACCTAGGCCCTTCTACGTGCAGCCAACGTGTTTTCTTTTTTCCACGGTAGATCAATTCGGAAAATATAATGCTGTACACCATCCCTTTGCTCACTCGTTCAATTCAATGAACTTCGCTTCACTACACAACACTCTAATGCATTTGGACGCTTTCTGGACCCGATACATTCAAAATGTTTCACTCGTCCGAATGCACCTGGTCTAGAAAGCGTCCACATGCATGTAGTGTTGTGTAGGGGAGCGAGGGCCAATGTCGAGTCGGTGTTCCTGCGCAGGGCGCGCACAGCATCCAATTATTACGTTACACATACTGTCATAACCCATCAGCATCAGCATCATAAAAATAATTATAAAAAAATTATAAAAAAAGACAAAAAGAGGTAAACACCTTAAGAGAGCAAGAAGAGGTTCCTGAGACATAAAAGATATACGTACAGAAAGGTATACATTGAAAAAAAAATCCAATTATTTCCCCCAACATAATAGATATTGAGACTATAAATAGAAAAACAGCGTATGTACGTCCACACGGAGGCAACCTGTAGGGAAATAGAGACAACAGAGAGATCACTTCCCTAACCACCACCACCACCTCCTCCTCCTCCTCCTCCCGGTCTTACTACTACCGTCTTCAGCCAAATAGAACGCCCTGTCATTATCGCTGTATTTAGACTGAAAGTTGGCCCAAGATTTTGATCAGATGATCTCCGAGAATTTCATCATCATCATCAATCAATCAATCATCATCATCATCATCATCACCATCTTCATCGTCATCATCATCATCATCATCAATAACCATAATCATCAAAATCTGATGTCAAAAAATCAAGATTGATTGAAACAAAAGAGAAATTTCATCGCCATCTGTTGTTCATTACCAACGCACAACGATACAGAATAATGAAGATAATCATCATCATCATCATCATCATTGCAAAGGCACTCTTTGGCATCATGATTAGCCAGCACTAAAGATTTTTTTATTTTATTTTTTCGTGCTGCTTGTAAAAACTATCGAGTCCATCACATCAGCGAGCGACACGTGTCGTATAACCGGCTGTTGTTTCACTCGCGCGACACACTTTCGACTAAAAAGCAAGAAGCACTTTTCTTTTTTTTTTCAACAAGGAGTGTCAACCTCTCACACCCACTAACCTCTCACACCCACTAACCGTCCTCGTCCACTCTCTCCCAACTCTCCTCCATCACCTACACTCACACACACACACACACCCCTACTCCATCACCTACACACACACACACACACACCCCTACTCCATCACCTACACACACACACACACACCTACTCCCTCCCCTTTACCGCTCCTCCTGATCCTTCCCCGCCCCCTCGCTCCCTCCTTTCCTCTTGTAATTCACCTACTGTGATTCGTACACTGCACCTGGTCGATGGCTGCGGTCGTGCAACAACCAATATCCAGACCGACCGGATAAAAGGGCGACCTCTTGTCTTCCCCCGACCTCAGGTGCAGTGCTTCGTACACTGCACCTGGTCGATGGCTGCGGTCATTTTGAATGTAGACAAGCTAGCTTCTCGGTCCGATACGGTGAAGATAGGGGTGCGTTACGTTCAGGAGGAAGGCGGGCGGAAATAACAATAATACCCAGACCGGATAAAACAGCTTGCGCACACACAATTCGCTCCCTCCCCCCCCCCCCCCCCCCCCCCCCCCCAAAAAAAAAAAAGGTTAACACACAATAACAAAATAATAATTCTATAACGGAACGGAGGAGCCCGTTCCTTGTCAACTCCTTAACGGAACGCTTATATCTGCTTTTGATTCCCACCTCTTTTCTTAACGGAGATCCATTCCGTTTCCGTTCTCTCGATCATACCGAGATAGCGGGGCTTAACGGAGATCCATTTTCGGTCTTTCGATCAGAGTAATATAACGGGGCTTGGCTTCAGCGTTAGTATATTACTATATTATTATAATTAAAATAAAAATAAACTGCAAGTCGAGGCCTTTTTAATTCCGCAGAAGAACACCAGATCTAAATCGCGCCTCAAGTTTTTAATCAATCCAATCAACTACGGCAGGCTGGTCGGTAATCAGAATCCGTCACTCCCCCATTTCCAGATCATCACTGCGTCCGTCTGTCAATCAACGAGTAACCAGACGCAAAAAGTCCGTCGGGATCACAGACACGTGTCAAAATATGGATCCACGATGGCCCTTTCCCGCCAATTTTTCCTTCCCTCACCATCCCTAAGTTCATATCACCATCCCCCGTGTCTTGCCACTCCCGCAGATTTCAGTGTCACTCTCCCGCCATTCACAACACGTTTTCGCGCCAAATCTTTCCTCCGCGCTTACATTCTCATCGTCCTATCCCTCTTTCATCAGTCACGATCTCCCATTTCCCCTCCCTCCCTGTCCCCCTCTCTTCCCTCTACGCTAAATCCGTCCACTTTCCCTCCCTACGCCACGTGTCAATTTCCCTCCCTCCCTTCCCCCCTCTCTTATCTAATTACTCGACCAATCACATACCGATCTGCCATCGACCCCCCCCCCCCCCCCCCCAAACAAAAAAAAACTCCTCCCTCCCCAGCCAAAGACCTGATCACATAGACTCGCCAACCTCTCCTCCTCTCCGTTGCTTTCCCTCGAATACCGATCCCCGAGCACCATCCTTTCTGCAATGCCAATTACTTCCTCCTCTCCCTCTCTCCCTCTCTCTCTCTCTCTCTCTCCCCTTCGATCGCTCATTCCATCTCCCCCACCTTTTGCCCTATAAAGTAGTGGGTTCAATTGCGAAAATTCGGAAACCCATCTAGATCTGTTCGAAGACGATTTCCCCCCCCCCCCCCCCCTCTTCCCCCCCCCCCCCTCCCCCTCCCTCCAGTTCCGCACCCTTTTGCCCTACATAGAAATAATGGGTTACATTTTGCGAGAACTTGAAACTCACCTACACCTGCTCGAAGATGATTCGCCCCCCCCCGGCAAAGGGACCCCTCCTCGCTCTCCCCATCGCCGGCGCCGTCGTCGCCGCCGCCGTCAGCACCACCACCACCACCGCCAACCTCCTTATAGGAGCACTAGTCCCAGTTCGGGGGGCTTTAAGACCCCGTGAACCCTGAAATTGTAGAGATAGTAATGCAAGTGCCCATCTCCAGGACCAAACTTCAGCTCTTTCAAAAAGCGCTGATTTTCCATGATGTCCAGCGCATTGAACACGTCGTAATTCTCCCTCTTTGCCATTATCAAGGCATCATTCATGAGCTGCAACAACGGCGTCTTCTTGGCCACGTTGTAATAGGAATAAGCTGCCTTGAGTACCTTGTAGTTCTCGTTGCCAATGACTGTGGAGGGAAGGGTGTAGAAGCTGCACATGTCGGTGATCTGCTTCGTCTTCGGATCTTCGACCACATAACTGTTGACGACATCTTTAATCGGCATGAGCTGATGCGCCACGTCATCCTCCGAGAAAAGCGGGGCGACCTTGAACTGCGCGAGGTAGTCCGTGAGCAGCGCGGTGACGGCCGGGATGTCGCGACGCTCGGTCTGTCGGAATCCCGGCGACTTCGTCTCGGTCGGCAAGTGGTAGAGCTTGATCGTGCGGCTCATAGTCATCCGAGGGGCCAATCTTGAAAAGCCCACGTCGATGAGTTTCTTAGGGTTCAAAGATCGGTGCCAGTATTGACACGTGGCGATGGGTTTGGGAATAACCACCCCCGCCGTGTAGGCCGCCTGCCAGATGTCCTCCGATTGCACCCGTCTGGTCACCTCCTTAATCAAGACGGGCGCCAAGCGCTTGGCGCGCAGCTTCTTGTGCACGCACAGGAAGTTGATCTCGGCCATCGGCACCAGCTGATTTTCAACCCTAATTTTGGCGGGAACACCCGTGATGAAGGCCACCAGCTTGCGCGAGGATTTGGCGCGAACCCCCACATGCCAGCTCTTGAAGTACCGCGGCGGTTTCAGCGCCCACCTAAGGAAGCTCACCGAGTAATCAAACCGAAACATGTTATCATCATCTTCCACGTAATTGTTTGTCAACAGATTATATATCTCCTCGATCATCTCGGCAGAGTCCACGTCACACGTGCACCATTCGAAATTGGTCGGCAGGTTGTACGGCTCTTTCCTCACGTCCTCCACCCTCTGATTAGCGTCGATGGGACCGGTGGCAACCAGCCCGTCTTCCCACCCGCTGCCGTCATCTTCCTGGAACTGACCCACAGGCTGTGTCTCCCAGAAGGCATGCCTCTTCGCCCCACCGTTCCCAGCAGCTTGGCCGAATTTCATGGAGAGCGACTTCAATTGATCGCTCACCCTCTGAAACAAGGCAGTATCGCCATCTCCTCCCCCCTCCCCTCCTCCTCTTACTACTACCGCGCCTCCGCCTGAATCCCCTATTCGTTCTACTGCCCCCCCCACTCCTCCCCCTCCCCCTCCCCCTCCCGCTCCCGCTCCTGCTGCTGCTGCTACTGCCGCAGGAGCTGCTGCTACGTCTGCTGCCGATCCTTTTCCACCCGCTGCGCCCTTTTTGCGCGCTCGAGCTTTTGCACCACTTCCTCCTCCTCCTCCTCCTCCTCCTCCGCCTACTCCTACTGCTACTCCTACTCCTACTCCTCCCCCTGCTGCTGCTGCTACTGTTGCTTCTTCCGCCAAGCTTTTGCCTTCCCCGGCCGCAGCCCCTGCATCGCTGTCCCTGCCATGGCCAGACTTGGACGCCAGATCAGTTGACCCCTCTCCCAACTCTGCAGCCATCGACTCCGCCCAACAGCTGCCAATTTCTCAACCAACCACCCTCTCTCCCCCCCTCCGCCCCCCTTTCACCTCCCGCTCACTGCTCCAAACCGGGTGGTACCCGAAGGCCGGTCATCGACACCCCCCACTCAGAGAAAACCCGTGAATAGTCGAGGGCTCGACTGGCAAGAGAGGAACCCTTCCACTGCACTTCCGTGAGATGAAGGCAACTGCCACGGGAGGTGTACGTATAGAGTGGGAAGGAAAGGAAAACGACAATCATGCAGACCGAAGAAGAAAGTGATTACAGGAAGGGGTAATGCAGAGAGGAAGGGACAAGGAGGCAGGAGGAAAAGAGGAAGGGAGAAAAGAACGGTTATGGCAGGGAACGCTCAGAACCACGGAGAAGTACGGACAACTAAGGGGGTTAAGAACTCCGCAAAGAGTACGAGTACGAGAGAAACCGAACGCCTGCACTAACAAAGCAATCCGAGCAACAGTAACAAGGGTGGGTATCAGGAATAGGAGGTTTCTTCCCCCTCCCCCGACCCCTCTCCTCCTCCTCCTCCTCCTCCTCTCCTCGCTGCTGCTGCCACTATTACAACGAACCTACTCTACGTGTCATCTGATCAGCGAATAACAATGGCAAAACTGTGATACCTGCCTCTCAATCCCAGACATGGAGGATGAACCTCATCACCCCGCCTTCACCAAATCATCCCAGGGCAGATTCTACTCTCCCTGTGAGAAGAGGGAGATCACCCACCACCCATTCTCCGACCCTAACCCCCGACCACTACAGCCCGCCCCCGCGGCCCGCCAAAGCCTCTCTGCCTTTTCCCTACCTTCCCTTGGTACCGTTCGCTCCTTCTGTGCTCCTTCCAAGCTTTGTCAGTGCGCCTGCCGGTCGGGCCCACCGCAGTCTACTGATTCGAGATGAATTGCTGACATGTACCTGCCTTGGTCACCAATTGTATCGCCAACAGCTGATACTCAGATCAGGAGTTCAAACCGCCCAGGCCCCATGTAGTCTGGGGCTACCGGTAGTGGTAGAAGGCTATCCGGCTTTCAGAAACAACAAGGAAAAGGAGGGTGGGGAAAAGCCCGCGAGCGATGCGTTGAGGACATGTGAACAAGTGGAAAGCGATAGCCAATAGCCCTCTGCGCGACCGGTAGCCATGCACCGGGCCTAGGTCCCACTTGCACGAATTAAGAGATACTGACCGTAGATAGCCAAGATCAACGGCCGAAATCTCCTAAGTTGCGCAAGTGGGACCTTGCCCCCGACCACTGCCAGTTTGGTGCAATGCGATGGCCGAGTTTGTCAAAAGAGAAGACAGAAGGAAAGGACACCCGCCGCGAGATGCCGTTCTGCCTACCGGTAGGCCCCTTATAGTACATACTCATCTGGACGTAATGGCAGTCAGACGCATGCAGATCACGGCTGTATATCCCGTCAGATACGTTCCAGGGTAGTCCCCGTGTGAGTGTGCCCTCAGCCGAAGCCGGAAACCCCGGCAGAAGTGGAACAGAAAACCGGTCCCGTTCTTTTCTTTTTCTTTTTTTTGTGTTTTGGAAAACTTCAATATGTATTGCAAAAAAAAAATCCAGTGGCCTAGCTCAGTTGGTAAGGCACGCAAGTGGCATTCAGGAGGTCTTGGGTTCAATCCCCATTGGCCTCATGTACCTTCCTGGGCAAGCTTGGCGCCCGCCACCTAGAGATATGCCGTTGGTCCCCCCGAGCGGCATTGGAAAAAAAAAAAAAAAAAAAAAGTAACAATGGGACGAGGACGGGGACTTCACAATTCTACCCGGAGTTATCCTGGCAGCCTCAACCAGTTTCGCTTAGGAGCCAGGCTCGAAGACCTACCCACTGCTCAAGTTATATCCCTTCTACTGCTGGAAACCGGGTCCAGCTCCCTTGCTAAATCCACAGAATAACACTTTCCATATTAAACGTTGACGCACATGTAAAAAAGGGGGCTGGATTTTTTTTATTATTATTATTTTTTTTAAACCACCAGTACCTCCGAGCCTGTTTTTGTCGACCCTGATTTTCACTGCGCTCCGAGTTTTGACGAGCCTGGGTCCCACTCCATTTCTTTATGGTACTCTCACGGAAAWAAMAAAAAAAAAAAAAAAAAAAAAAAAAAAGTTGCGGCCGTGAAAACTCACAAAACAAGAAAAAGAAACAAAGCTCTGGACGTGATTGCAGTTGTATACATTCTCGGAAGTGTTAGTGTGAGTGTGCCCTCGGTGAGGGCATCTCAGCCCCGTGCCCAGGTTGTCAGATTCCATAAACTAAAAAAAAAAAAAAGACAAGAACACGGATTCGGTCGTGAAAATGGCAAGATATATTCCCGTAAGTGTCAGTGTGATCAGGGTTACAATCCTCTGAGGGAACACAGCTCGAGCAGATCACGGATTCAGATTGTCAAATTCTAGTAAAAGAAAACAAGAAAAAAAAAACGGAAACACGGATTCAGCCTTGAAAACGGTTGGATACATCAGGGTGACAATCATCTAAGGAAACACAGCTAGAGCAGATCACGGATTCCGCTCTGCCTCGTTGGCAGGGGGCACATAACAAACAAAAGAGAAATAAAAAAAAGAAAACAACAAGTTCAGAATGTGACCGTCTTTATTGTAAGATGCATTCAAGACTGTGAGCACGGCCTCCTAGACTACCCTGCCCGACATCATTGCGGTACAAAGACTTTTTTTTTTTCATTGTTCTTTCGTGCACGGGCAAAAGAAAACTACGATTTTTGGGACATTGCCGCCCCTGTGTCCGACCCTCGAAAACTTCGGGTACTGGCCAGGACAACGTAATTTCCCAATACTGGCGGAGGTACTGGTGGTTTAACATCATCTTCATTACTCAACAAAAAGAGACGAGGTCGGGGACCTCACAATTCTACCCGGAGTTATCCCGGCATCATCAACCGGTTTAGCTTAACCAGGAAAATTCAATACTAGCCCCCATCTCAATCACTTACTTGTAGGTGAGCTCTACCAACTTGAAACAATGCTACAAATATGTTCTACATACCCAACACAACCAACAGCGTTGCAGTCTGAAGCTTATATGAAAGAGAGACCAGAAGGCACATTTCAACACACAACATTTCTCACCATCCCTTTGCCACTAAATTTTCGCACGGTCAACCCACAACCCCCCTACCCTTCAACTATCCTAAATTAATACACAGGCCTACACGGCCTGACACCGGCCTAAAAAACAACCGGTTGGAACAAACTATTCTTAGTAACCGAAGGCACTTTCACATCCCCCCACCCTGCTTGACCTACTGTGGTCCACACCTGGAACCGAGCTACCCTGGTTCCCCAGTCTCTCGCTGCCTCACTCACCCTGGAACCACTTAGAAACCACCAAACCTTTAACCCAATGCACGGGGGGCTGCATTTGCAGTCAGAGAATGCATTACCACGAAAAAAAATTACTCTCATACTCCTGGACCACAAACAAGGTGGGCCCATAGTCCCTGAATAACGAGCTTATGGAACCCCCTTCCCCCTAACAAAATACTCGTAAAGCTCATAGGACGGAGCTCCCAAACTGCAGAAAACACTTGTGCTTTTCTTCGTGGAGGTTTAAGCCACCGTGAGATCACTAATTTTCTGTCAAGTGTCACTGCTGCCAGTTGGTTCCCTCTAGCCCAGGTTTTCATAAATCAGGGGAACCTTTTTTTTTTGCTTTTAAAGCATTTCTGTCAGTCTGCCATTATCTGTAATCTGATATTTGAGCAGAGTCGAGTTTGTTGCTCCTGAATTGAAACCTTTGTGTCAGAAAAGACCACGGAATTTCTTGCTCTCCAAATTTCTTGAAGTAAGACTCCTCTGCAAACCAGTGCGACAGACCCCCAACCCTCCCTGAGAATTGTACCCTGTGTTGACGTAATACCATAGAGTATCCAATCATCAGGCCACGAACAGCCTGTCACCAGGTCCCAATGCTTGATCCACCAGATCCATAACTCGTCTGCTAGGGGGCACCATAACCATTGGTGAGCATTCGATTCCCAACCCCAATCACGCCGTTTGCAAGTAATAGCTACGTCCATGCCCGTCTGCGAGAGCCAGGGTGCTGAGGCTACCACCAATAGCGATTGAAGTCACAACAAACTAGCATCTTTATGGGAGGGCATCAACAATAATCCTTTCCAAAATGTCCGCCAGTCCGGTTGCGTCTGCAATCCATTCTTCATCTTCTCCAGTCTTTTGCTGACTAACACAGTAGTTTTTTTTTTAACTGTCCTGTAGTGATTTTACTCCTATCTTAGGTCTATACTCTATCAGAGCGACTGACTCACATTGATTCTGACCAGTTAGGGGCGACCACCCCTTTATGTTGGGTTCTATTCTGAAGTGAGAAGCAGGCCTCATAAATCTTGTGTATTTATCATTCTTACTTAGCAGAACTCTGGCTTCCGAAAGATCCTTCATGTCGGGGACTATTCTCTCTGACAGTCGCATCAGGTTGACTTGCTTATCTTGCCCCTGCCCCCAAGGCCCTGGAAGCCTCCACTCTTCTATTTTCTGACTCGAAGCTAAGTCTGGCCCCAACACCCTCTATACCTTTTCCTATGATTCTTTAAAGAACACCCAAGCCCCTATGGCTTGTTCTGTGTCTTGCTTGAGAAGGTTAGCCCAGTGTCTGGGTATGGCTGTTATCAGGGACTTCAAGTTACGTCCCACATACTTGAGGCGTGGAAGCTTTTTCCTCATAGTATCTTCATAAATCCAGTCACCGGTGTCTGCATCCCAGATGTGTTTGATTTGCAAGACCCCTTTTCCCACCCAGGCTCGGCCAAAGTCGCCCGCCTCCCTCCCTGTCGAAAACTGTTTGCCATTGGTCTGGGCTATACTTGGATTATCAAACAGAATCTGGTTTAATACTTCACCTTTTGATGAGGGTTGGTTGAATTCTCTCGGGAGAATGCTATTTCAACCATAAAGAATGTCCTTCGAAATCCTCGATTTTGGTCTACGGCTAGCGAAGGACGGAAGCAAGAAGCACTGCCAAACCATTGTTGGTATTATCAGTTCTCATTCAGTGGATAGAATGTATTCCGCCAACCAGATCCATAGTTTCGAGGGATCGTCAAACATAGCTTTTACAGGCCATTTCGCCAAAAGAGCCGGATTTTGTTGTCGAGGGTCTAGGATTCCCCAGGCCAGACCACCTTCGGACCTTGGAAGAGTGATGGCTTCCCACGCCACCTTGGCCATATATCCCTCATCTGCGTCGGTCGTCGGTTTCCAAAGATACTTCGCAGCGCATCTCTTGATTTGTGTGTATGCTTCGTCCCCCATGCGTATCATGGTGAAGGGGAACCATAATAACGAAAATGCAGCAGAGGAGATCATTAGAGCTCTCCCAAAGAGGGAGAGTTTGTGACTCCTCTACCAATTATTGATTCGGCCTGCCACTTTCTCCGAAAGTATAAGGTCTTGTGCCTTGGCGCCATCACCTAGTGACACCTGGATACCTAAGAAGCGCTCCGAGTTCTCCGTTGGAATCTGACGCAGTCCCCAATCCATCTTCAGGGTATAGGGGTCTGGGAGAAAAACACAGATTTGTGTCAGTTGATTGATGCCTCAGACAAAACACAATAGCTATCTATAACTGATCTAAGTTCCTCTAAAACTGACTTGCTATTGTCGCAAGCAATGGTAAGGTCGCCTGCTATTGGCCCCCCCTTCCATTCCAAGGATGGGGACAGGCGCAGACCCAAAATTTTGGGATTGTAT